CTGTGTTATCTCACTTCTAACTCTCCTTGACGTAGATGACAACAATCTCTGTGTTATCTCACTTCTAACTCTCCTTGATGTAGATGACAACAATCACTGTGTTATCTCACTTCTAACTCTCCTTGACGTAGATGACAACAATCACTGTGAATACCCTACAACTAGAATCCTGTGTTATCTCACTTCTAGCTCTCCTTGACGTAGATGACAACAATCTCTGTGAGTACAACAACATTGGAATCCTCCATGACCCAGCCTCTTTATCTTTGATACACATGACAATATTCTCTATGACTATAGCTACCTAACAACTTGAATCTGCCATAATCTCACCTCTCAATATACTGTAAATATATTTATTTTGCCACAGTCGAATTTTAGCGCATTATCAAACTTTAATCAATTTGGCACATTTTTGAGTTGATGCATCCCGAAAACATGAAATAGAGAACAACATACAAGAACTGCAATTTATAATTTAGCGTAAATCTTCAGCACGAACAGTGCTTAAATAAGACTACTGCTAAAATAGGTACGTTTACAGTGTTAAGCAGATCCTTTGACAGTATCACTATCTTCTTATTGGAAACCTCCATTTTTTGCCTTAAAAGTTTGTTTACTTTGACATAGAGGAAAACGATCTTTGTGACTATGCCATCTTTATTATCTCACAGCCAAATACATTTGGTCAGGAGGACATCAGTCTCTGCAGCTTACGTACATACCCTACTATTGGGGTCCTTCATTATTCCACCCTTCACTCTTTTTGATGTTGAGGCGTTGTTGGACCTATCTTCCCCATTTGGCTTCGCAGAGTTTGAGCTGCGAGTTTCTAAGTCGGAATTGTCTGCACCTGTTGGTTCTACCCGCTTCCCCATAGTGTGGCGGTCGTTCAACTTTCTCTCGTCAAGGAGAGGAGAAGCTTGTGGGGAGAGGGAGCTGGGCCGGATCACGTAACTAAATGGTGGTCGAAAATGATAATTATTTTACTTTCGCTTTCATTCTGGCTCAGTTTTTTGCAATTAAGTCCCTTTTGAAATGAATATCCCGTAACTAAGCATAATTTTATTGTTTTCTTACAGATTCTCCTCATTTACTTCGTTTTTCCTATAGAAATTAAGTATTTGATTGAATGTCAAAGTATGGATGTAGACTGTTTTTTTTATAGATTTAAGACAATGTACAAAAATCAAGATTTTTTTAACTTTTGTACCCAATTCACTTACATAATGTCATCTAGTTCAAGACGTAGGTCATAGCTAGGGTTGACAATAACATAGGAAATGTTATTGCGCTTTTCACTGCCACAACCTGTTCAGAAAAAAGTTTGTTGTTAGCCATAATATTCAAATATATATTAAACATCTTTCACATCATAGGACATATATCAAAGGTTGTTAAACGATTTTGCAATAATACTTGAGGTGTCTATAGCTTAATCGTAGAGTGTGTCAAAAATGATATCTGAAGGAAGTTAAAATGGGCATTATCAAAGTTTTATAATGGATAACAATCAAATACTATATTTAAAGAAATACAATGTATCTGATTCTGATATACAAAACGAAACAAAACTTTTTTTTTTTTAAGTGCTTTGTTATAGTCTTTTCGCGTGAATTGTTATTTCCCCATGATATTATGGTATTCATTTCTCAATCACAAAAGATTCCCTGACATGATATTGAGGAGCATCTAAAATTTTGTAGTTCATCTTTTCATTCATTTTTCCCCAATCCCTTGTGGAGTTATTCATCCATTTTTAATGTTTGTAAAGCATACAACTTTTAATTAATACACCCCATACACAAATGTTATCTCACTCCTTCAAATAAGGAAGGGAGCTGTCAAAGGGAAGTTCATTTAACTAACCTGTGTATTTCAAAACCAACCAGGAAAAAATACAGGTCTAATTCAATAAAATTAACATTTTTTTATTTTTTTTAATGTGATGACGAATAGACTGTATAACCATATTTATCACGTTCCCTTCTTTCCATTAAAACCTATACATGCATTGTACATGTATTTGGTTATCACATTTTTTCTATGAGAAAATTTTGATTTTTGAAAACAAAACTCTTAACGTCCTAGGCTCTGCCATCACACCTTTTGGAAAGTGGTGTATATGAAGAGGGGTTTGATTCAATGATGTGACACATACTGTATCATGCATAAAACTCCAAAAGAATGAATTTGTAAGGTGAAGACTTTGTAGATATAACTCATGCAGGATAGAAACTGCCACAAAACCAGCACAAAATCACTACAAATCTGAGACATATCAAATAAAGTTTTTAAATTTCTGATTTTATTTTGCAACTTGGCAATCTTATGACAACATATATAATAGTTACACAAACTAATATTATATTAATGGCATGCAAATTGTAGGTGGAAGATCGTACTGAATGTGAAATTGAAACATTAGTCAAGATTGTACTGATGCTTAGAATACACTAAGTCTCAGCTAGTACGTATGGTATATACTTACAAAGCTAAGATTGTCTGTGTAGTGTGCACTTATTTACCTAAAGGTATATATATATATATATGTATCATCTAAGAGTTGTTCTTGTGTTGTTAATATATCTAAAACAAAGGCTGTCTTGATGGTTTGTGCTTATTACAGGGCTTTCAGTTAACCCTTGATATTCAGCAATTTCAGAAGTCAAGTAACATTTTCCCTGAATTTTGGTGGGTCAAAACACATGTCAAATAAACATGCCCATTCTAACCTCAGTGTCTAAGCTCATTTCGGAGAGTCAGAAAGATTCTCTCAAGGGTCTAATGAACGCCCTGCATATTCTCTTAATTTCTGATGGTGTGAATGTGACTGTAGGTCAAAGGTTGTACTGATGGTGTGGATGTGACTGTAGGTCAAAGGTTGGACTGATGGTGTGAATGTGATTGTAGGTCAAAGGTTGTACTGGTGGTGTGAATGTGACTGTAGGTCAAAGGTTGTACTGATGTTATGTATGCATCAAATGTTGGTGAACCAGGTAAGTCTTTTTAGTGTGTTTTGTAGCTCGTAGGCCCTCATGCTAGTTTGCCCGTGTAGGTCTACAGTTGTCACGAAAGTTAGTATTTCTAGGTTAGTATGCCCACAGTTGTTCCTGAATGTATAAATGTACTTATTTCTAAGTCAACCAATAGCCCTGAATGTATGACTTGTGGCATAAAAACTAACCATTATGCCAAAATATGTGAAAGTCAAACTTCTGAATCTAATTTGAACATTTCACACATTTCATTTACTCACATTGAAACTCAAATGTTAATTCAAGCACATATTTATTCAGATTATTTGCACTCAAACATCAAGTTCTATACGGCCTGACCACAAACAAGTGTAAGTGACAAGAGGTACATTTACTTGACTGTCACGTGGAAGACAGTTCAGAACAAGGTATACTGTTATCTTCACTCATTCACCCCTGAAATTTCATAATAAACTATTCCAACCTTTAAATTGGAATAGTTCAAATGTGTCTTCAGGGGTGAATGAGTTCATGGTTGATTAGGACATGTTAAATATAAGTTTTCAGGGAAGGAGTTGGTGCTCTTCTTCAACAATATTCAAACTAATGTGCAGGGTACCAATAAAATATAGTTAGCTTCTGATAACAAGTGATAACAAGTGATAACAAGTGCCACGTGTATTACTTTTTTGTGTTACACAAAGCTTAAATGCCCCTACCCCTTTTTCTCCTGTGCCGCGTCCTACTGTCTGAAAAATTGAAAGCAACAATTGCATAAATACATGACAAAAGGGGAATGGGTGTACATTTACACCACAACAAATACAAAGCATTTACATAAACAAGATTTAGTCATCTCATATACATATATATTGATGATCAAGTCGCATAATTACTATTTGAAACATATGAAATGGCATTAGTAAGGACTTGAAGAAGCTGACAAATGTGATGTTATTATATATACGAGATGATATATATAGTCATTTCTCACACTCAAACAATAATCAATTTTTGTTCAAAGAATGCTTAAAATCAAATTGTTTCCGCAATGTAATTGTGACTATTGCTTCTTTTATCAAACTTGAATAGACTAATTTTCAAAATATAATAAAACAATGAACTTTTGGCAGTTTTTCTATTTGGAATATAAGACAATACCGTTTCTGTTTATTAGAGAATGTTTTACAGTGATGTCAGGAAGGTTATGTCAAGGTTATGTCAAGGTTATGTCAGTGTCAGGAAGGTTATGTCAAGGTTATGTCAGGAAGGTTATGTCAGTGTCAGGAAGGTTATGTCAGGAAGGTTATGTCAAGGTTATGTCAGCAAGGTTATGTCAAGATTATGCCAGGAAGGTTATGTCAGTGTCAGGAATGTTATGTCAAGTTTATGTCAAGGTTATGTCAGGAAGGTTAAGTCAAGGTCAGGAATGTTATGTCAAGGTTATGTCAGTGTCAGGAAGGTTATGTCAGTGTCAGGAAGGTTATGTCAGTGTCAGGAAGGTTATGTCTGAGTGTCAAGAAGGTTATGTCAAGAAGGTTATGTCAGGAAGGAAGGTCACGTCAGGAAGGTTATGCCTTTCGGTGATTTGCGGTCGACTGAAGCAGGCATGCAGTTAAAAATGGGGGAAATTGCAGTTACACTTACAAAATCGGTAATTTCACAACTTCCACATATCGTATATAGTAAAACTTGAGAAATGAAACAATACATTGATAATTACATACAGCGAAACACACAACAGTCTGCCTTCATATTTAATTCTTATAGCTATTCTACATGTAAGTTTCAAAGTAAATATGACAGGTAAAACAAAGGAAAGAGCAATTGGATAGGGCCTGGAGATAGTCAATGTAAGAAAATGGCAGACAGAAATATAATTGGAATAAGGACAAGAAGTCAAGGAAGGGGGAGTAATACAGAATTAGGTATAGGTTAGGACAGTTAAGTGATTCTGAGTCAGATCTAAAGTAGGGTGAAAATGATTAAGAGTCAGATCTTAAGTAGGGTGAAAATGATTAAGAGTCAGATCTTAAGTAGGATGAAAGTGATTCAGAGTCTTATCTAAAGTAGGGTGAAAGAGATTAAGAGTCAGATCTAAAGTAGGGTGCAAGTGATTCAGAGTCATATCTAAAGTAGGATGAAAGTGATTCAGAGTCAGATCTTAAGTAGGGTGAAAGTGATTCACAGTCATATCTAAAGTAGGGTGAAAGAGATTAAGAGTCAAATCTAAAGTAGGGTGCAAGTGATTCAGGGTCATATCTAAAGTAGGATGAAAATGATTCATAGTCATATCTAAAGTAGGGTGCAGGTGACTCAGAGTCAGATCTTAAGTAGGATGAAGGAGATTCAGAGTCAGATCTTAAGTAGGGTGAATGAAAGAGATTCAGAGTCATATCTAAAGTAGGGTGAAAGAGATTGAGAGTCAGATCTAAAGTAGGGTGCAAGTGATTCAGAGTCATATCTAAAGTAGGATGAAAATGATTCAGAGTCAGATCTAAAGTAGGGTGAAAGTGATTAAGAGTCAGATCTAAAGTAGGGTGAAAGTGATTAAGAGTCAGATCTAATCTAAAGTAGGGTGAAAGTGATTAAGAGTCAGATCTAAAGTAGGGTGAAAGTGATTCAGAGTCATATCTAAAGTAGGGTGCAAGTGATTCAGAGTCAGATCTTAAGTAGGATGAAAGTGATTCAGAGTCAGATCTAAAGTAGGGTGAAAGTGATTCAGAGTCATATCTAAAGTAGGGTGCAAGTGATTCAGAGTCAGATCTTAAGTAGGATGAAAGTGATTCAGAGTCAGATCTAAAGTAGGGTGAAAGTGATTCAGAGTCATATCTAAAGTAGGGTGCAAGTGATTCAGAGTCAGATCTTAAGTAGGATGAAAGTGATTCAGAGTCAGATCTAAAGTAGGGTGAAAGTGATTCAGAGTCATATCTAAAGTAGGGTGCAAGTGATTCAGAGTCAGATCTTAAGTAGGATGAAAGTGATTCAGAGTCAGATCTAAAGTAGGGTGCAAGTGATTCACAGTCATATCTAAAGTAGGGTGAAAGTGATTCAGAGTCATATCTAAAGTAGGGTGCAAGTGATTCAAAGTCATATCTAAAGTAGGATGAAAGTGATTCAGAGTCATATCTAAAGTAGGATGAAAGTGATTCGGAATCATATCTAAAGTAGGGTGAAAATGATTCAGAGTCAGATCTTAAGTAGGATGAAAATGATTCAGAGTCAGAACTGAAGTAGGGTGAAAGTGATTAAGAGTTTGATCATTAGTGGGGAAAAGGTTATTCAAAATAAGATCCAAGGTGGGGGAAAGTGGTTCAGAGTAAAATCCATGGTAGGTGACTGATTCAGAGTCAGTTCTAGGGTAAGGGAAAGGTACGGTGATCCAGTGTAAAATCTAACAAAGTGGAAAGTGATACCAATACTGGATCTAAAGGGTAAGTGGGTATACTATTCAGGAGGAATCTTTATTAAAAAGTATATTATAGAAAAAAAATCAGAGAAAGATGTTTGTTTTGTATAACTGCGTACAAAGTTTGCCCCGTACCATAATCAGACATCGGCAGACCGAGACTCTGCATTCGTGACTTGACCATTTGACTGATCTCATGTCGCTCCGGCGTCATGTGAGCGTCGCTGTCATCGTGCTCCAGTCCCATCATACTCAGCGACACCTGGTGGCAAACAAGATCACGTGGATGTTTTACTTGCACAGCGATGTTCATGTTAGCTGAGAGTAGTGTGTCAGCCAAATGCAAGGATTACGAAAGTCATTGGTAATTAAACATTAAGTGGTATATAAGTTAATGTTTGTCAATTTTCAATGTAAAACATGCAGATATTGCAAAGAAGGATATAAGAACGCGTAATTATTTGAGAACCTTTCATTTGCTTTATTTAACTATATCTGTCTTTTTAAGTTATAAACTTTTCAAAATGAAAAGACAAATACATCACCATTTCACAGCTGTAACATTACAAGAGTCATTTCTCTTCTTATTTGTGAAACTCAAGAGTCTATAACAGTCACAGCATGCTTCACTGTTTCACAGTATTAACATTGCAAGAGTGATCTCCCTTCTAGCTTGTGTGTACCAAGTGTCTGTGATTGTCACAAAGACTAGCATGCATCTGTTATACCTTTGCATTCAACTGATCAGGCAAAGGTTTCTCCAGGGAGTAATACATATACATATAGTTTCATTACATACATTGATGATACAAAATTACACATGTATGTTTCAGTCCATAATGAAACAATTAATTTTTAACAAACATTTCGTCCAGAATATTGATTCTCATAACCTGACAGGATCTCCTTTATGTTGTAAGCTCACAAGCTGTAATCCACTTATCAAATAGATGAATTGATACAATACTTAGTTCCAATTTTCTTTGGTGCAATTTCATGCTATGATAATTTGCATGCTTTCACAATGTTCTTGATTTTCCTTAAAACACCTGTTTAATGCATGGATGTTGACCGGACCCACTCTAATGCTATATACACTTGTGAACTGGTTGATAACCTTACCATGTGATACGGAATTGTCAATTTTACCTCTCTCTGACAGGTCAATATTTCCTGATAACGACAGTACATCTGTTTCACTCCGACAAATCTTAATCTTGTCAAGATGGCAGAAAATAGTTCATTGACAAAATTGAGAAACTACTGACTACTAAGCACTTTCAAATACACACAACAAAAAATGAATAAATAAATTCATGTATTTGAGATAGTAAAAAATGTATTTAACTAATGCAGGTTAGAATTGCTAACATATTGCAAGACAAAAAAAAAACAAATAAAAAACTGAACTGATATAAAACGGTTATTATTTTTCACACAAAGAGGAACTAATTATGAAATGAAATTACATAAAGTTTGGTTAAACAAATCCAACAGGTAAACATATCAGATAACAAGAGGCCCAGAAGGTCTGTATTGTCAACTTTGATAAAACAGTTAAACAACCATTGACAGTGATATCGCAAATATTTCTCTGGCAGCATACCAGCTGGGACAACATCTTATAGAATTCCTTTATATAACATTGGATACCATGGTTCAAAGGATGATTTATAGCAAACTTGTTAAAATAATTGAACTTAACCAACTAAAAAGGTCACATTAACAAAAATAAGATGATTGTTTATAGATTAATGATGAACATTAAATCCCTGCACCCCTGCCAAATTTCATTCTTCTAAACCTGTTATCATCGGAAAAAATGTCTTGAAAATTAAAAACATTTTGACCTCTGACCTAGTAAGATGAAATATGGCCAAGGTCATTTTAATCAAACAAACTGTATAGCCCTCTACCCAGTGGTGCTGCAGACCATTGAATACCATCAGTCTAGACCCCTTAGTTATTTTAAAGAAGTTGTCAATTTTTTTTTACACATTAGAGATAATGACCACTATGACCTTGACCCACTGTCAAGGTCATTAATCTGACCATGCTTCAAGGTCATTCACTTGAACAAAATACATGCAGATAGCCCTTCATTCACTGTTAACATGCTGCAGGCAAAATAAGAGGCTTCTTGGTTAAGTTCAGGAAGGAAAACCATACAAATATTTTAACACATTTGACCCATGTGACCTTGAAAGTAGGCCAAGTTCATTGATATGAGGAAGGTTTACTATAATTAACCCTATGAAGCTGCTTGCCAAACATCATTACTCTAGATGCTCTTGGTTTTTCAGATTTTTTTTTAAAAGCTACCAGTAATAGCCTGTGTTGACCATATGCCCCTGGGCAATCTCTCAAGGTCAACATTTGATGTCAACTCATCAGAAAAAGATACAATGACATGTCATCATATCATATTGATGGTAGCATGGCTGTAAACTTACAGACTTTTTAGATAATGTTGTTTGAAATTTTCAACAGGCTTGACTCCTGAGACCTTGAAATAAGGTCAAGGTCCTTGATATGAGGAAATTTAATAGTACTTCATCCAGCTAGCTACTGGCGAAATTTCATGACTCTTCGATTTCTTGGTTATTGTAAAAAAAAAGATTTTTGAGTGTTTTTGGCATTAATTGCCTATGTTGACCTTTGACCCCTAAGCAGCTCTCTAACTTGAACCTTTACCTCAAAAAATATATTACAAAATGATACATATGACATACTTATGGTGTTTTGTACAGGAGGAGTAACTCAACCCTTTCCTTCTGTTGTCACTTCTAAACCTTTCTATTTGAAATATCAGTTTAGGTCGAAAACAAAATCCTGCAAGCAAAGAATTTTAAGCAAGTCTATTAAATGTTGCTGAAACTGAGCTGTTGAAAACTGCAAACCTTCAAATAAACATTAAAAGGAGTTAAAAATGGTGTTAGTATTTCTGAAACAAACATGCAAAAGATTGGTATTAATGAATTAAAGAGGAAGTAAAGTTATAATAACAAGGGAGAGTATTGCAAACTCTAAGGGTAAACTTAATGTGAAAAGTGAAAAACTCTAAGGGTAAACTATGTGAGAAGTGAAAAACTCTAATTTGTCTTAAAGTGTTGGCCTACATTGTCTGGTTTCTTAGTGGTAGAGGAGAAGGATGTTGAAGACTGTCGTGGCTTCCGGCGGATCTGTATCAAGAAAAACGATCAAGGTTCATATCAAATATCTTCATGTTAGAAATAACAGCTAAATATAAAACTTCAAGGCAGCTAAATATAAAAAGTCAAGGCAAAAAAAAATCTGAAATATCTCACATTAAACAGAATAATTAACAGGAAAATTCAAAATTTTCTTAACTGGTTACATGATTAAAAGTGCAAAAAAGCAGCCTTTTATCAGACAGGCTAACTCAAACACACACAAAATGTGGAAAAATGTTTTTTTTTAGAATTATTTATAGTCGTTTGATACTAGGTAATTAAAACATTGTATTGTTCAGGAATTCAGAGTAGGTGATAAAGGGCCACGAACAGTATTTTATTCAGGACCTAAAACAAAGTAAGAATTAGGACTTACGTGGGTAATCTGTATTTTGTTCAGTATACCTCAGTCTATTTAGCGAGGTAAAAGATTTTGATTAGAAAGCCTACCCTTCCCTTAAGCAACACATGGGGAGACCAATACCTTTAGCCACGGAGAAGTAACTACAAAGGCAGAAGGAAGACTGGAGTTTTAACCAATTCTCACACAGAAATAACTACGTTGGGAGATTAGCTTAAGAAACATTTCTACTGAGAAATAACTAGGGTACACATTGTATACATTCTGGGGAAGAGAGATTTGTTGTGTCATTTTTACAGAAAAATAACACTACTTGGGAGTAGATAGTGGTGTAATTTATACATAGTAAAAAGACTTTAAAAAAAAAGAAGAGGGGTATACAGGTATGTATAAGTCATTTCTACAGATAAATATAAAATTGTTATAATATAGGAGTGGAAATAGCTGTAAAGAGTATTTTCTATTGATATGCAGTTAAATTGATATACAAAGCATACAAAAAATTAAAACAATATCCAATATTTCATTGTATTTTGTAGCTCATATCAATTTGGGAATAATAGAAATACATGTATTTCATATTACCTCAAAAACATATAACTATAATCTTATTCAAAAGTGTTAATTCTTAACGAGTAAAATCTATCACTTCAAGCACAGATCTGGAAACATAGTCAACAGGACACCAGTTTCACCTAAATGTTCTTCAAATCAGTTTTATAAAAAAAAATAACACTTAACAATTTGATTACAGATGTCGACACTCCCCATCTGATCTGGTCATCTGTTCTTTAAAAGGTTTAATGTCATTCAGATAATATACATTTTTGAGCTGGTGTGGTTCAAAGTTCAGGAACTTAGGAGTCAAAATGTGTTCATTCCAGACTAATACTATCAAGTACAGCTGTTTAAATAACAAGGATAGAAAGTCAAAGACATATACACACTCCTAGTTAACTACATGTAGAGTAGAAACAGAACTGTTTCCTGCTGGGAGCCCAGACTTGTTCAGTTATTTGCCTCTGTAAGGAGGCGGACTCCCTCATTTTAAATGAAATTTACAAAGCGGAGGCAAAGGCAAACTCAAAATCTACACCCTGGGGTAAAATGATCTCCCAGCTAAAGCTACAGGGGATAATGTGTATCATAAACAATGCCGATGTGCTTGGATGATATCAAAGCTTTTCTGATACATGAAACATGTGGAATAAATAAAGCAGAAATGTTAATAACACATTTTGCACACTTTCCTCCTCATTTAAGATGTGGTTTGAGGAAGATCTGCCTCACTGGAGATTTAAGATGTGGTTTGAGGAAGACCTGCCTCACTGGAGATTTAAGATGTGGTTTGAGGAAGAACTGCCTCACTGGAGATTTACGACAATTAACTATCTCAAACTGTGCTTCCTCCAACATGGCTTTCATTATTGTGTATATGATATTAATATTTTCAGTTAAGGAGTAAAAGTTCCATATATAGGAAAGATGTGGCATCAAATTCAACCATTATTTATTCAATGTCAACTATTCATCGGTCTGTGCCTGTGTTATTGCAAGCTATGTAAAATTTAAGCGCCTTAGAGTAATTTTACAAATTATATAGTGCTATATAAATTATGTATATTATTATTATTATTATTATATGTATAACAGTTTTTGTAATAATTCATTGATAAATGAGGAGAAAATCAATCAAATCAAAATCATACTGACTGGCGAATGTTGACTATGTGATTAAATTTCCTGGCTACATGACAAGGTGAGGTGGCAAAGTTGATCTACAGCTAAGAGAAAAATTCACAGCAATCGCACTGATTTAGTGTTTTACAGAGCGTGAGATGGCACCTAGACTACAGAGAGACGATCTCACCCACGCACACACACACGGGAGAAACGTATCAATGATATGAAAATCAGGGTCATATTCACCATTCCATGAGACTGTTCCAGAAAGAAGACAATCACAAAGATTCAGTGGGAACACAGGAAATTAATTTGGTGAGAGAGTCACAGGCATTAACACAGTTATACCTTGTACAGGAAGTTGACGGACTATAATCTCAGATGATCTGCATGGTCCCTTAATGCTAAAGAGTGGTTCGATTTGAGTGAATTGTGGACACATGTTGATGCAGACTTTAAGCTTTTGGTCACAACATCAATGACAAGGGAAAGTGTGGGTTCCAATGCAGGAGATTTAGAAATCGCAGACAGATTTTACTATTTGTTTGAGATAGAGAGAGTAAAATTAAGGGATCATATCTCATTCCATCAATTAAAGATATTCCTTAAACATCTAGTTATTCATTAAAACGCAGTCACGGTGGCAATTAATGGATTAGCTCAAATCATAATGGTTTGGTAATATGAACCAGCACACTATTTACAATCAGTCACATCTGAAAATGTCGACGTATTTGTTCATGTTACTTAAAACAGTTACTGGTATATTTTATAATAAACAGTATGTGCTGAAAACATGGGTTTTAATTTGCCATATATATAAATCATTCTCTACATATTATTATCATTATCTTATCTTTTTAAATTGAATATCAATAGACAAAGAATATACAATTAATGCAAATATGTATGAAGTAGCATAAATGGTTTCATTATTCAAAAGCTTATAACATTTTATAGTTAGCAAAATCCTTTTTCAAGAAGAACGATTCAACACATTAAAGCAGCTTCAAGTGTGCATAAGCATTGAAAGGTGTAACAACATAGTACTGTAGATAATAAAACTTTTCTCTGAAAACAAAAGTAAAGAAAAGTAGCGATATTGAAAAAAAAAGAAAAAAGCACTGGTACTTACAACTGAATTTCTAAAGGCTAAGTTGAGGGCGGACTGATCGCGCACTACCATGGACGCATTCTATATCAACAAATAGACGATAAATTTGAGCACAGCAGTTGGTTTGGTACGTTAATGAACAGTTCTCTGGTTTGATACGTTTAGGAACAATATTTGGTTTTTGGTATTAAGGATTCCTGTCCCACTGCCAGTAGAACACTAGAGAACTCCATTGTAGTTTTTCAGACAAACAGTTACTTCCCTTTAATTTTGTGTTTAATATATCCAAAGCGAGACTGGGTCAGGGTGCTACCAATGACCAGGTAACTCAGTTGGTTACAGTGTTCTTTACAATGATTCAGAGGTCCAGGGTTCGAATCCTAATAAGGCTTGCTGCATTTTTTACTCAGAACATCGTTGTTGATTTTGATCTATTTCATCTAAATTAAAAAAAATACATGAAATTTCCACAAGGTACTGTTTTCTTTTCAGAAAGGATTTATCAAAGCAGTTGTCATGCTTGAAAAAAACATTTCCAATTAATAAAAAAAGATTTTGGCAGTGGTACGGGGATCCTTAATGACCAATTCTTAGATTTCTATATATTACGGAACAATTAAAGTAACAACAGTTCATATGAAATATCAGTATCTTTGCCATTATTTATTAGAACTATGATCAAAATTAAACAAAACAAAAAGATAAAATAAGGATTGTTTTCAATAAGTCCTTTGATTATCTCCCTTTGACATTAGGTAGCCAATACATTTTTTGAATTATTTTTATAAAAACCAACTGCTATATAAAACATAATGATAATTCAAATAAGTAAAATATACAAATACATGTAAATATATACGATAGGAACAATGTGTATATAAGGTTGATATATATGATTTTTTTTACAGTACACATGATTATGATCACACAGAACAACATGATGCAATATCCACAGGTACATCAAGTATAATGTATTATATCAAACATGTACATGACAATTGCTTTTTATTGATATTATCGAAATTAAGAAAAAAAAGTCTCAAGTTATAAATTATCTTTTCAACGACATTGAAAATAATATATTGTTTCAAGAAATATTATTTTCTTAAAATTTTGTCAATAAGAAGTAAATTCTAGTTAAAAAAATGCAAACTAAATATAAAGTTTTTTAAAAGAGAACTACATCTCTACCAGATTGAGAAATTTATATTTTTTAAATGAAATTTGCTTTCTTATGGAGAGTTTGACTTACAGGCGAGGTTGTTTCCCCTGTTTGGTCATGGTGAACCTGAGTACGATATATTCCTATTGGAATCTCACATGTGGTGGAACAGAATTTCTGGTACAATCTGCCGTACGTCCTGATCCAGAGGTCCTCTTTCTTTATTTTCATCTGTTAAAAGTAAAATCAGAAGATTGAAGTAATGTGGTGTTTTTTGACATTCCCAATATGCTGTATGAGTAGATTCTGAAACTAATGTTTGCAGAGAACCACTTAGATAATCCATTTTGTTGGATTTCTTATCCAAATTATCAAGTTTGATTTTTTCAAATGTGGCATAAGGAAAATATACAGACACACAAAGGTTTTCTAAAGATAAACAAGCCACTGTCCTTTTTTGAGAATTAACACTGTGGACCCTAAAATTGAGCATTTTCAACCAGTGGATTTGCTAAGCTTTTCCTATATTCTAACATCTAATGATTTCATCTGAAAAAACCTAGGGTGTACATACACACATTTTATTTATGCTTTTAATTCTGAGCATGCGTAATCTCCCCATGGAAATTTCAATAAAGTGGAAAGTATGCAAATTAGCTTTTGAGCTAAAACATTCACCTAGTGACTAGTACCTATGCACACATATGAGAAGATAAGCATGTATATATACTGTTATTAAAATAGAAATTTCTACAAAGGGAGGTAACTCACACATGATAAATGCCCAGAGCCAACAGCCTGATCAATTCCAAGTAGAAGTCTGACAAATGTTATCAGGTACTCCTTTACGAACGCCTGAAACCAAGCAACAGTAAACAGTACATCAAATGTTTCACCACAGATTTCAAATTCAATAACAAGTGTTTCATAAATATATGGTGCTTATATCAATGATTTGCTAGACCTAACTTGGTCACAAAAAGATGAAAGGCTTCATTGTCTGACCACTGCTGAACAATGACATATTGCTTTGCTAACAGTATGAGCGCCATAAGTGCTATTAAGTGCTCGAGTGCTATTACCATATTTACTCTGCAAAAAGCCCAGTGACCAAAGTAAGGGGTGGGCTGATTACTGAACAATGAAACAGCATCTGGTAGCATTTCTTCTGAACTTTAATAGATATCTGGCCCAGTTACATTTTCACACTCGGAACACAGTAAACCTGCTGATTTTAGTTTGCTTATTTTGTTTTTTTCTCTCCTTAAAAGTTCTGCAAGGTTTAGTTTTCTTTTCAAATTTATTTACCAAACCTTATTAAGTATTGAAGGATTTTTTTTTATTCCAAAGCATATCTTCAATTTCTTTTGAAGTGATATGGACATCCTAAAGCCAAGTCTGAATCAATTTCCTTTTTATTCTAGCACTTATTTTTAAATAAGTCTCACTGGCGCTATTAATAGGATGTTCATAAATTCTTTGTTACTGAAAAATAACAGTAATGTTTCATACATCGTTTAAATTGTAAAATAATGATGAAAATCAAAAGGAACTATAATGTGATGACTTCACTTAAAACTGAACAGTTATACCTTTCAAAAAGTGTATTAAGTTTGTGCCCTGAAAGTCTTGATTGAAACATTTTCAAGTTGGTGGCCTATGATTACCAGGTGACCTTTTTATTGTGAGGAGAACAAGAAAACTGATGTCAACATAGCACAATTAATGGACCAGGTAAACTACCGGGGTATGTCATGATCAGTGATTACATGTCAAAGTGACACTTGTACTTATACAAGGCAATGCACTGAAAGCAGTACAGACTTCAGTAGGAAAATTAACAAAGGGCAATAACTCTGTATATAGTAATTATAAGGCACAAGAATCAATTTCAGTAGGCAAGACTGTACTATCCCAACAGGTACTAAACATACACAATTTAGCAATTGAAGGTGACAAAGAAGATGAGATACTTCATAAATAAAGGCAAACTGTGCAAAAAGGGCCATAACTGTGTACATCATTGGGCACATACTCAATTTCACTCTTCACTATATATCCCAGTGCGTTGGAGATTTCCCTGCCACACTCTCAAGGTAGGGTATTAAAATTCTATTAATTTTTACATCAGTGAATATGTATGACTGTGATACCGACACTTCCTATATATTATAAGACTCTTCATGCCCATGGGTGTAGGATAGGAAAAGGTTTTTTTTTAATTTGGTAAAACCTGTTTTGCCATATTTGAAAATCCTGAGGGTGGCATATTTCCCTATCTTACACCCTTGGGCATGAAAGAGTATTTTTCCCTCATTCCAACAACCAGAATAAGTTCAGAAACAATGAAAATTTGTTTGTAATGGCTGGCTACCAATTTGAAAAATATTGATATTTCCCCTGAGCTTTTTATAATTAGACGAAAAGGAATCTTTCAGCCAGATTTAGCATACCCCATATTTCCAAACATTGTTTATCAGGAAAAATCATTCTCATCTTTCTTCTGTGTACAGTAAACATATTGTAAAAGATTTTAATTTAATCACATAGCCTTTTCCGCTTTGCGGCTCAGAGTTTTCCAAATTCGTGACGTCATGTCATTGTTGAGCCATTGTGACATCACGTCATGTGAAAAGGGGTGTAGGATAGAAATTTCTTACACCCCTTTCTTACCCTGGACAGCTTACACACAGGGAAATGAGAAAAAAAGACATATTAACCTTTTCTTATTACAATGTAGCGTTAACACTTACCTGATAAAGTAAGGTGTCTAACATACTAGCACTGAACACATTTCCCGCGGCAAACGGCAGTCTGAACATGTAAGACAGGTGAGAACCACGACCTCTCTCCTTCTGTAAAACAGAGTAGCATTTCTAGTAAGTTAAGGTAGCAAGTCCCACAACTTTACTGCTGTAAAAGAGCCACATTTCTACTTAGTTAACTCATTCACCCCTGAAGACACATTTGAAAAAGGGTGGAATAGTTCATTATGAAATATCAGGGGTGAATGAGTTAATTAGGCGGCTAGAGGGTCCCACAGCTATTCTACTGTACACAGACATGGGACAGAATTTAGTAACTACCGTATACAGAGATGGGTAGAATTTAGTCGCTAAATCATAGATCTATAATGTTCCTACTGTATACAGGCATGGAATAGAAGGTAGTAGTAAGAGTTCCCACACAATTTCTACTGTACAAAGACATGGAATAAAAGTTAAAAGTTAAGGCTAAGAGTCCCAGAACTTTTATTTTACATACAGGCATTGAATATAGTTTTGTGTCATGATGAAGGCCCATACAGGCTGAAACATGTGTTTTACTATGAAACATAGGCTCAGCTTCTTTATAATTTACTATCATCAGGGTTTAAAAATAAATTTTACCCTAAACTTTGAATTGAAATACAAACATACAAACCTTCTCCAATTTTGACAGAGAATAGGAGTACGTATCATTGGCTCTGAATTGCATAAATCTCATGTTCGATGACTGGGATAACTCCGTTATAATATTGGCACTTGGAAATAATCTGAAAATGTCACACAAAATCGTAAGTAAGATTACATAGAATGGTCACTTAAAAGGAATACATTTATGATGACACAGGTGGACAAAGACTTTATTCTGAGAAAATCTTTTGCTTCAATATAATTGCTGTGATCAAATCAATTGTTTCATAGTGGCATTTTTCGCACTTAAATCTGCTTATTTCAATGTTTTAGTTTTTTGATTGAAATTGTTGGAATATGAACAAACTACTCATTTCATAATTAGTTAATGCATATTAAAGAAAAGGTTAATTTCTGAAATGACAAGAAAATGTTTGTAAATCATATATATGCCCCAAATCCAACTTTGGTAGAAATAGAGCCAAACCAAACTTCTAATCAAGGTGAAATATGTAAATCAAGCTTAATGTTATTTTTATTTATTTTTGATAAATAAAACCAATAGAGCATGTTTCGTTCTTTATTGTCACAATTCACCAATCAAGAAATGAGCATTTAAAAGAAAATGCTGGTTGGTATTGTTATAAAGGTTTTCAAAACAAAAGATCGCCTTAAAAACCTGCAAAATACATTTATAGTTATTATATTTTACCCATAAGTGTTTCACATTATATTAAGGTTTCTCTTGTGAAACCAATTTCTATTATAAATACGTTACCACAGTCATTATAATGCATATTTCAACCCTACTTGGCTCTTTACATACGTAAAATAAAGAATTTCCTCCCCCCTGGAGAACTCCACCAATCATTATATGCATGAACATTTCTCGCAATCACATTGGTCGGATCCTATACACATGATCAGTCCTCAATAACTCATGTAGACTGGTTATCCGGTGAATATTGATTTCTCAATATAGCCTGTATGGAAATTCTACACGGATGCTCGCGTACAAAAATCAGAACCTTTAGTTTTGTTTTTTTTTATTTTATTGTTGAAGCATATATAAAACAGTTATGGACTTTTGTGCTGGTATATATTCACCAGCACAAAAGTCCATAATTGTATATTACCCTTACCTAAATATGGTCTGGACCCCCACTATCGTGTTACAGAACTCACCTAAATATGGTCTGGAACCCCACTATCGTGTTACAGTACTCACCTAAATATGGACTGGGCCCCCTCTATCGTGTTACAGCACTCACCTAAATATGGCCTGGACCCCCACTATCGTGTTACAGTACTAACCTAAATATGGTCTGGACCCCCACTATCTTGTTACAGTACTCCCCTAAATATGGTCTGGACCCCCACTATCGTGTTACAGTACTCACCTAAATATGGTCTGGACCAACACTATCATGTTACAGTACTCACCTAAATATGGTCTGGACCCCCACTATCATGTTACAGTACTCATCTAAATATGGTCTGGACCCCCACTATCGTGTTACAGTACTCACCTAAATATGGTCTGGACCCCCACTATCGTGTTACAGTACTCACCTAAATATGGTCTGGACCCCCACTATCGTGTTACAGTCCGACAGGGTGTCTTCTTCAGCTGAGTTAGATGTTTCTTTGTTTACAATCACAACGTTGTCTGCCATGTTAATTCCAGCTTGTAGTAGATTGTCAATTCTAGAAAACAAAACAAAAAGGAAAATTATTACATGAATTAAACTTTATACAGCCTACGATGTTCTGACAATTTTCACTAACTGTTTCAGAAGGACATCTTTGATACTCTAGGGGAAGTGCTCATTTGTTCTCTGCACCCCTGGAATATGTCATGACAAAATAGAAGGCAAGAACTCAGCTATTTGATTGGTTTCAGGAAAAAACCCACCTGACCAATTGCTAGGCTGAGCAACACTCGGGCCGACTTCAAAGCAAGTCAATTTGACTGTTGTGCTGCTGGGTGATTCTTTTGATGTACATCAAAGGATTAAATAAGTGCACTTGTATCATCAACAGGGTGGCACTTACTGAGCCTTCCATTTTGTTATGACATATTCCAGGGGTGCAGAGAGCATAATAACTTATTCACCCTTGAAGACACATTTGAACTCTTCTGATTCAAAGGTTGGAATAGTCCATTATACAATTTCACGGGTGAATGAGAGTGCAGCCCCTGAAATTTCGAGGGTGCAGAATAACTGTAGAGCTTTTTTCATTTAAACATCTGACTACAACCAAAGACATCTAAAACTAAGCTTTACAATGCAGCAATTCACCTTTCAAATTGAAAGCGTATTTCGTCAGTAGTACAAATGTACATGCACATGTTACTTTCAAGCATTATTGCACAGGTGTTAACTTTCATCATGTGTTACATGCATGTTGAACATTTATGCATACATGTACTTTCCAGACTTTCATGTTTTTAAAACAGCTTATCAAAATTTAGAAATATCTTAAAAGTTTTTACGATGACAATATAACAACACAAAATGCCATGTTTAAAGCTATTCTATGCATTGAATTATTGAATTTCAGCAATACATTTAAGATGCCCGTTCTATTTTACTGATTTCAAAAGACAAATATGTCAGGCTGAAAAATGGCAAGTCCTCTTTCAAAATCATAGGGAGATTTCTAAGCAAGTAGTCAGGGAGATATTTCCATATCGTCTCGTCTCAAGAGCCATTACCGTTATCAACCTAAGGCTAAGCACGATATGTCATATATCATATGTGTTTCTCAGACCTCAATCCGAGTTGCTAAAACGCTAAAACCCAGTGCACAAATTTCACCATCACAACACTCGTAGAATGCACCGGAGATAAACATTTTGTTTTAAGCAATTATTTAAAGTATGGATTATTATTTAGAAAAGAGTATCAGAAGACTTTATGTAACCCACAGGTGAGTGTCAGAGATTCTACTTTCTATTTACGATAACGAAACTATATAGCGGAAGCATGCAAGACTGAATTATGCGCACGCACCCCGAATGGAAGTGGGTCCGTCATTTCGTTCTCTGGACAGAATTAATAAGCTGCTCGGCTCTCGCCAAGAGCGGCTTAAAAATATATACAGCTGACAATGCTATTGTTGTTCTCCAGGTTGGCTTGTACGTATACTTATGTCTTTAATAACAAAATGAGAGTGACTTACGAATCAATGGATCCAATCATCCAGAAGACGAGGGGGAAGTGACAAATGGTGTCGAGGAAGGCGGTGTCTGGTCTACAACAGAACATAAGTAGTACGGTCATCAACCTAAACCAACACATTACATGGTCATTTTCAATTTATTTTTCTCTCACACTGGACATAACAATGTTTCCCCACCTTGGGGGGTAAGACATAAAAATCTCAACCCAAGAGGTACTATAAGGATTCTGAAATGTCCAGCCAGGGCCAGACATTTGAGTATCTTACCTCAAAGGTTGAGATTTTTTTTCTGTCTGACAGTTACTCATGAAACGGGAAATGATTAATTTTCTCCCACATCAAAAACAAGTGGTAATTTCATGAAATGCAAACGTTTATTTCATAATTTCCAGCAGATCAGAGTTATCTTCCCTGATCTGCTATTGTTGATGCGACATCCCCTCGCCTGTACTCTTTGGTAAGACAGCTGAGATATCTTTCCCTGACATGAAGTGTGGATATCTCTGTCCAATGGGGGAGACATTTAGGTGTATCTACACTTTATCTGGTGCGAGATATCCTTGTCTCACGTTTGGGTTGAGACAGGTGGATTTCTTATGTAGTCATAAAAATTGTATGATGTCATTTTACTATCTGTTTTTAATAAAATTCAAATTTTCAAGTTCATTGATTTTCCATGCAATGCTTTTATTTCCACTTTGTTTTGAAAATTAGCAATTTTTGCCCAGGTGAATTTTTCACACTCTGGTCAGGGTACAAAAAAGTGACTGGAAGACAAATTTATGTTACAAATAGCATACATTTTTTTTGGCATCTTAATGACCTAAAATAGAGTGATCTAAATTCTTACTGAAGTATTTAATGATTGGTTCTGAGAGTATAGTATAAATAAAAGTTTACTTACGTATTACCCAGCAATAGCACAATAGGGTTGAGGGTATTTTTAGGCCTGGCGTGAGATCGTAGTGGAACCACGAAGTTGTAGATGCCGTTACTGGCGAAGTCTGCGGCCAGGATGATGGCTCTGTTAGGCCAGTTATACTCCTTGGTTGTCGTGTAACAACAGTGATTACAGGCCTAAAACAGAGGTTAGCAAACCACGCCACAACATTACTAGACCAGCCCTTGGAGAAAAGTCTGAAAACTTGTACTTGTACATCAAACATTTTGGTTGTGTAGCTTTGCTTGTTTTCACAGGTTATTGTACTAAATATATATATCTATATTTACAAGCCATAATTACACAGGTTATTGTACTAAATATATATATCTATATTTACAAGCCATAATTACACAGGTTATTGTACTAAATATATATATCAATATTTACAAGCCATATATAATTACACAGGTTATTGTACTAAATATATATATCTATATTTACAAGCCATATAGAATCATCTAGTTTTAAATATCAACAGCAGGTGCTATTCGCCACTCAAAAATATAACACAGGGTGCATGTTCACTTACATAGGCAAGCTGGAGACAACAGAGTGGTCGTTTTTCCTTCATCAAGTGACACAATGTGGGACTGGTGCCGACGTAGGGTGTGATTGGTGGAAATCCTCGGATGTACCTGTCAGTGAAATCAAATGTTTGATACTACATGTTCCTTTAAACTATTTCAGTGACTGCAGACTTACATCAGATACACACTTTCACAGTAGACACCTGTTTACTGTAGGATAACTTAAAGATTACGTAATAGTGGAAATTATTTCATGTGGAAATGTTCAGTTCATGTTGTGACCTATTTAACTGATCATAGTAGGGACAATTTCACTTTGGCTACGATTCTGAAATGTATCAATTCTACAAATCTATATAATCTTTATGTTATTACTTGTGTGTGGATATTTTCGAACTTCAAAAACTTTTTCTTTCATAGTAGTCATTACTTAAACAAGAGGCCCATGGGCCTAAACGGTCACCTGAGTCCTACAGTATTTACTTTTTGTTGTTGAAATATGTACCAATTTGAGTACAAAATAGTTAAGTATAATGTTAACTTAAGTTTGTCAGGACCATGAGCTGATCATTCCTAGACCAAGTTTCAGTTAAATCGGCCTATTAGAACTTGTTTTTAAGTTTGAAATAGTTTTTCAAAATGGCGGCCGTGTCGGCCATATTGGATTTCTGATGGACCCGAAAAATAACAACACTTTATCAGGACCATGAGTTGATCATTCCTACAAAGTTTCAGTTCAATCTGCCCAGTGGAACTTGACTTTAAGTTTGAAATAGTTTTTCAAAATGGCGGTCGTGTCGGCCATATAGGATTTCTGATGGACCCGAAAAATAACAACACTTTGTCAGGACCATGAGTCGATCATTCCTCTAAAGTTTCAGTTCAATCGGCCCAGTAGAACTTGACTTTAAGTTTAAAGTAGTTTTTCAAAATGGCGGCCGTGTCGGCCATATTGGATTTCTGATGGACCCGAAAAATAACAACACTTATTAAGGACCATGAGTCGATCATTCCTTCAAAGTTTCAGTTCAATTGGCCCAGTAGAACTTGACTTTAAGTTTGAAATAGTTATTCAAAATGGCGGCCGTGTCGGCCATATTGGATTTCTGATGGACCCGAAAAATAACAACACTTATTAAGGACCATGAGTCGATCATTCCTTCAAAGTTTCAGTTCAATTGGCCCAGTAGAACTTGACTTTAAGTTTGAAATAGTTATTCAAAATGGCGGCCGTGTCGGCCATATTGGATTTCTGATGGACCCGAAAAATAACAACACTTATTAAGGACCATGAGTCGATCATTCCTTCAAAGTTTCAGTTCAATTGGCCCAGTAGAACTTGACTTTAAGTTTGAAATAGTTATTCAAAATGGCGGCCGTGTCGGCCATATTGGATTTCTGATGGACCCGAAAAATAACAACACTTATTAAGGACCATGAGTCGATCATTCCTACCAGTTGTCAGTTCAATCGGCCCAGAAGAACTTGACTTAAAGTTTGAAATATTTTTTCAAAATGGCGGTGGTGGCGGCCATATTGGATTTCTGATCGACTCGAAAAATAACAACACTTGGTCAGGGAGATGTCAGTAACCTTCCCATGAAATATTAATGAAACCTCTTTGCCAGTATTTCAGCTCAAGTTGAAAATGTAAAATGTTAACTGACGACGGACGACGACGGATAGCAATAGGTCACTTGAGCTAAAGCTCAGGTGACCTAAAAAACTACTGTCAGCTATTTTTTTTATCTCATATACACAATGTATTTAAATATTGAGGTTTGAATAATCTATGGAAATAGTGAAGATTACTTTTCCTGTTGGATAGGTCATCCTCAGATGATCAATCTATGACCTATTAGAAGTATATGAGATCTAGACTTACTCAGGATCATGGTCAGTTTCGGAGTCAAACACAGTGTCATCATCGTCCTCCTCAGACTCAACGTCGGAGCTGAGTTGTATACGAATGTCATTGGCCTCGAGTACTGCGGGCACCGGCGCTATACTGGGACGTTTCTGTAGGCTGGAGATGTTGAGGCCCTTTGGCAGGTCAAGTTGGAACTTCTTGCTATCCTTGCGAGTTGGAGCAGGAGGACGGGTGATCTCAGACGGATTTGGAATGTTCACCCGTGTGTGCTGAAGCTCCAATGCTACTGTACCTGTGTGATAGTACTTCTCTATACATTTTTGTGATCCTATCTCAATATCACATTCATAGATGTGCTTCTACATCTTTTATTGATGGTCAACGCTATCAAGGAGTGTTCACTGTAAACACTGTCATTTATGTTATTAGCTTTCATGTCAATCTAAATTGATTAACTTAAAGAAGTAGTACAAATACCAGGATTATCTGAGTACTGAGAGAAATGAAGACTATGTACTTCGATGTTGGTTTTTTTACATAGAAAATTGTTTCAGTCCCCCTTTTTTCCATATATCTTTAACGCTTTCACCACTGTAGACCATAATGGACTCAACCAGATCAATGCATGGTAGAGTCTACTTAAGTTACATAGGGTTGAAAGGGTTAAAAGATAAATTAGGAAGGACGTATTTCAACACTCATGAGTCCAAAAGGGACAAAACAGCTGTATGGCACAGTATACTATTTGTCATACTGTATCTATTACATGTACCAAATCTATAGGTGCCATCACATGTGAGTCTTCTATGTTCCTCTTTCACCAACTCCTCGCCTAGTAGCCGTGGCAAGAAGTGCGTCAGTAAAACCTGTTTAATTTGCTATTAGTTTTGTGGGTTCTATCGTTGGGCAGAAAAGTTGTGTTTGCTCAATTAAAAAAAACAAAAAAAACCTCCACGAACCCCCCCCCCCAACCTGTGCAGTAACTGTTATGCAAGGGTTTATAAATACCAACATTATTATTTCTAATTAACAAAATTTGAGATATTAATGTATTAACAATTCTAAATATCGATACACTTTCATGGATCAGAATTAAAGTACAGGAGCAGCATATTCATGAAACCATTCTCATGCTAAATCTCAGAATCTGTGCTCAAGCCAATTTTTTTTGTTATGGCGATGAATGCATAGAAATTCGTAAATGATTCTGGTGAAATTTTGGGGATATTTGAAGTGGAATACCATTTTCAATGCCTGCACTTGATTTTTTTATCGTGTCACATGATTTGTGCAAGTTGATTTGCGCACAAAATCAATGCTTGAGCATAAGACCAGTTTCATGAGTACGGGCCCAGATTATACCTACCCACACTAGCTATCATGCTAGCCACTTTGGACGCCTCTTTCGCACCAGTGGGTAGGTTCTGTTGGTCCATCTTGCCTCCCTCCTCCTGGGACTGGGCCAGGTTGAAGGTGCGTGTATTCTCCTCCTTTGTGATGTTAAGGTAGAAACAGATGTCCGACTTTTTCATGATATGCCTGGGACCAGGGTTTAACTGTATGTTTGAGTCCTTCACGTCAGACTGTTGTATGCCAACCAAACTTACACCAAACCTGTAGGGATGAAATCATAGAAATACAAATCTAATTCCTATTCCACTTCGTTTTTAACGAAAAAGGATTTTGACGTATGATAACTTAATGGATTTTCCTCAAAGTTTTACAAATAACACCCTGTTTTTTTATTCAATTTTCTAATCCAGAAACCCCCCAAAATAAGAATGATTTTGAACATCTTTTTTTCAATGACTAAAAGATCTTTTCCTTGTATGATATTATAATAGACATTACATATGCATATTTGCGCTAGTCATACATATCAAGGAATTTTTATTTAAAGATACGATTTTATCAGATTTGTTTGAATTTTCCTGGCATGACTCAAAGAACAACAAAAAATATTTTCATCAAAAGTGTTGGGAAAGATGGCATCCTTTTTGTTAGGTGGGCAAATCAAATGACAAGATAGTCAAGCTAATAATCTGATTCTGGAATTAAAAGCAGCATTAATTTTGTTCAAATTTAACATCCTTTATATTTCCATGTTGTTAATCACTAAAATATAAAACATATTTTTTTTTTTTTTTTACAAAAATTGTACAAAAAGCAGTGCTGAAAATCGATAATAACCTCACATGACCTTAATTTTGTTTGAAGGAAATGTTATATTTCATTTTTCATTTTCAAAATTTGCTTTATATTCAAATTGATGTCATAATATCTTCTGTTACATTCTTGTTCACCGACGACATGCAAAGCCAATTCGGTTACTCACCTGCGATGAGCATGGAAGGAGGCATAGGTAAAACTTTTGCCCTCGTACTCCCCGAAGAATTTACTGTCGCGGAGTTTGATGTGGTAAATCTCGTTGCCTGAACATCCACCGTAAAGTCGCTGCCAATCCTCCGAGGACGTCTGTCCTTCACTGTAATCAACAAGTACATTTATAAGGATAGATATTTAATGTTGTACTAGATATGGTTCTAGATATACACTATACTACTGTAACTTCCTGCTTATATAACCTGATTACATCTGAAACTGACTTTTGCTATCTGAAACTGACTTCTGCTATCAGGTGAAGCAATTCAAGCTTTGTTTTTTCTTTGATGTAAATGCATGGGTAAAGAATTCGGTTTATGGATTTTATTTTTTCCTTGTTTGAACATCAGTTCCAGATCTATGCAAATAAATTACAAAATAAAAATGCAGAAATATGCAGAAATAATTTAACAACTTCAATTGAATCAATTCAAAATACAACAAATTGAATGCCAGACACAATATGAGTTACTTATTTTTGGCATGGTGCCATCTCCAGATCTAGAGGTATACCTGGGTATTTAGTTTGACCAGTAGTTTAAACGTATTACCCACAGGAAAGCTACTGAAGTAACTTATCTGGTAATATTTTCACAAAATACTATATTTCAGTTCTTGCAGGTTAAACCCAGGCTGGGTGCAGGAGTTACTTATTACATGACTCTGTTGTGGGCTGGATGAAGGAAAGGAGGAAACCCACACAGGCCAAAACGAGGGTTAGGGTACAGTGCAGGTTATGGTTTGGGACTAAAGAATGACCATTGAGGGACATACTTGCTGGCATTTGAAAGTATGAAACAGGACAGTTGCCAAAGACTGACCATTTGAGGGACAATACTAACTGACCTCTGGAGGTATGTATTACAGGAGGGTGACCAAATACTGACCATTGGGAGACAAAGACTGACCATTGAGGGTCAATACTTACTGGCCTCTGCAGTTATATGTAACAGGAAGGTGACCAAATACTGACCATTGGGAGACAAAGACTGACCATTGAGGGTCAATCCTTACTGGCCTCTGGAGGAATTTAACAGGAAGGGGACCAAATACTGACCATTGGGAGACAAAGACTGGCCATTGAGGGTCAATACTTACTGGCCTCTGGAGAAATTTAACAGGAAGGTGACCAAATACTGACCATTGGGAGACAAAGACTGGCCATTGAGGGTCAATACTTACTGGCCTCTGGAGTTATATGTAACAGGAAGGTGACCAAATACTGACCATTGGGAGACAAAGACTGACCATTGAGGGTCAATACTTACTGGCCTCTGGAGGAATTTAACAGGAAGGTGACCAAATACTGACCATTGGGAGACAAAGACTGACCATTGAGGGTCAATACTTACTGGCCTCTGGAGTTATATGTAACAGGAAGGTGACCAAATACTGACCACTGGGAGACAAAGACTAACCATTAAGGGTCAATACTTACTGGCCTCTGGAGGTATGTAACAGGAGGGTGACCAAGGTAGAAGTGGCTGGACACAAACAGTTGTTGGCAAGTAAGGCATACTTAAACTCATCTTCACACACTACATGCTCTGAGGACGGAAATCAAAGCACATGCATGACCATGATGTGAGAAATAAACATTCAAGTCACCATGGACTGGTGTCTTATTACAAAGCATTTTTATGACCATGATATGACAAACATACAATTCAACGAAGTGTCTAATAAAGTCTTTTCATGACCATGATGTGACAAAAAACATACAAGTCGCCATGGTGTCTTACAAAGAGAATTCATGACCATGATCTTACAACAAACTTCCATATATTAATTCATAACCATAAAATTGAGCAACCGAGTAACCCAAATTAATTTTTCTTTTTTATCTATAGTAACCATTCAAATCACCTCATTAGCTAAAGTTTGTAGGTTGTTATGGTAATTAATTACTGCTATTGTGATCTTAATATTAAAACACATTCTGCAATATTCAAAAACTACAAAGATGTACTGTAGATATTTGTATTGGCACAATTAATTACAACTGATCAACAAGATAAACTACCTACCTGCGAATTTGACATGGAATTTGTTTTCTGGTCGGAAGATCTGTACATACTGAGCACAATCTGGTGCAAAATCTTTGATGGCCCAGGACCTGAGGATGGTGTGCTGGTCCTGTGTGTCAGAGATAACATGTGAAAGGTACAGTGAACAATCGTTAGGAGCTTTAATTAAGGACAAGATGGATAGTCCAACATCATTGCTCTATGCCAAAAATTTAAGTTTTTTTGTATGATCTTGTATTGAACATGGGAATGTTTAGAAAAATTGGTTCTCTATGAACCTGTTTAGATATCTGACTTTAACTGACCTTAAAAAGATCTGAGTGTCCCAGTACAAGGGATTCTGCACTATCAAACACTTCAGGAAATGGTTTCGATTCAATGAACTGAAGTCTTCTATAAAAAAGAGATATGGTCATTTAGTTTATATTCCTTTAAATTACACCTCAAAATTTGACTATGATCATGAGAAGGGTAACAATTTAGCAGTATCGCTATATCCACCTTGGCCAAGGTAATGGTTGTCATAAACAGCTTCTTGGTTATAATTATACCAATTAATAGTAAACATTGGCAACAGATGATATACTTATTTTAGTGTCTGTTGCAATACCAGCATTTCCTTGGTGACTGTTGTTATACCAACATTTCCTTGGTAACGGTTGTTATATACCTACATTTCCTTGGTAACGGTTATATACCAACATTTCCTTGGTAACGGTTGTTATACCTACATTTCCTTAGTGACTGTTGTTATACCAACATTTCCTTGGTAAAGGTTGTTATACCTACATTTCCTTGGTAACGGTTGTTATACCTACATTTCCTTGGTAACGGTTGTTATACCTACATTTCCTTGGTAACGGTTGTTATACCTACATTTCCTTGGTAACGGTTGTTATACCTACATTTCCTTGGTAACGGTTGTTATACCTACATTTCCTTGGTAACGGTTGTTATACCTACATTTCCTTGGTAACGGTTGTTATACCTACATTTCCTTGGTAACGGTTGTTATACCTACATTTCCTTGGTAACGGTTGTTATACCTACATTTCCTTGGTAACGGTTGTTATACCTACATTTCCTTGGTAACGGTTGTTATACCTACATTTCCTTGGTAACGGTTGTTATACCTACATTTCCTTGGTAACAGTGTCTGTATATATGTACTTACAGCAGCTGTTCTATCACTCTGGTTACGGGCTGCCAGGATAAAGCATGCCAGGGAATCCTGCATCCTGTAACAGAGGACAAATCCTAATTATCTCCCTTTGATATTTTTAAATCTAAATCACAGTTCACTTGGTCTTTTTCACGCCATAAATTCTGGATGTTCAAGTTCCAATGTTTCCAACATTTTTTTTATTGCCCGACACTCACATGATGAACATAAGGAAGTTGCACAATTTTTAATACGTTTGGGGAAGATATCTTACCAATAAAACTAAAGATTCAAAGGTCATGCAACCTACCTACACCGGGTGAGATCCGAGTCCTTAAGGGCCGACCCCTGTATGTATATGACCCTTTGGGTCCACAAAGGAACTTGTAGTAACATCTTCATCGTGGAGTCCAGCTCACACGGCGATAGTAACACTACATAGTAGTCCTGAAAATTAAAGGACAGAAATTTAGACTTAAACTGTGCAATAATTATTGTGCTCATTGTACCATGTATACAGGTTAAACCATTGTCCCCTGACAAAGTGAAGATTGTAACTGAAGCAGTAATAATTCAACAATATACACACATATATATTACAAAATGTAATATTTAAAAATAGTTTCTGAAACATACTTTAATTTAAAGTAATGTAGATCATATGGGTATAGCATGAACTCATTCACCCCTGAAGTTTTATATTGGACTATTCTAACCTTGGAATTGGAAGAGTTCAAATGCATCTTCAGGAGTGAATGCATTAAGGGTCCCCGTCCCACTGTATGTGGTTGAAAATTGAGAATTCCACAGTAGTTTATGATTCAAAGAATTAAACTTCCCTTTATGGTGTTGTGGATATAACTAGTCAGTGGGGTTGGGTGGATATAACTAGTCAGTGGGGGTGGGCCAAGGAACTACACCTTATCATATATAATCAGGTTGTTCACTTGTTTAGAGTGACTATTGTAATCAGGGGTTCAGGGTTCGAATCCCATCCTCGCACCTTTACATTTTTTCTCGTAACAATGTTGTTGGGTTTTTTATCATTTAATCTTTATTATTTTTCTTTCATTAAAGTTCTGCAAGGTATCAAAGCTATTGTCATGGAGATACAAATTTCAATATATTATTTCAGTTTGTGGCAGTGGCGCAGGGATTCTTAAATGTTTACCAGGAAATTCCCAACGGACATGATCATCAAGACTCTTTGAAATTGTGGTATTGATTCTTTTATGCTATAAACCTTAATGAACAATACACGTTAAGCTATTGTAATTTTATCTGCTATTGGGGATTATATAGCAATACACAGTCACAATGTAAATATCAATACAAAATTATCAATCTGTGAAAAAGGTACACTTTCAGTGCTATAGATTTCCTGTTAGATTGAAGTCCAACAATTGATGAGGTGTGGATTCTTTGCCAATGAAAAACAACACTATTATAACAAACTCTCCACCGGGAAAATTGCATCCTGTTTTGACATTTAAAAACCTGAGTATCCAATAATTGGCGTAAATTAAAGGTCCAACTCATAGTGATGTCATATTGTTCACTTTCGTAACTTTGTTTAAACTCTGAATTGAAACTAAGGGTCTTTTGTTTGCGTTCTGTGATATTTCTTTGGAAATCAATTTAATTGGTTTTCTTTTCAAAGGAATTCCACATCCTGTCAATTAGGCCTAATGAGGATCCATTCCAAATGGCCTTCAAGTTTTTTTTCCCCGTAACTTCTAAATAAAATGTTTTAGAGCCTAAAACATGTGCACTTTTATGCTACAAATTGAAACATGTTTAACAAAAACTTGATCAATGACATGCAAGGCAAGTCAGTAAGAGTTGCTCTTGGGTGTCATGTTAGCAATATACAGCGTTTGTTAACAGCGTGCGCTGTTTGTCCTATTAACAGCTATTTATAAACAATAACAAACACAGATTTTTTAAGATTTACAGATGTATTATAAAATAAATCACTAAGTATTTACATTACAAAACTGTTCTACACATAATATAATTTACATAGCATAGCAAACACATACTTAACTAGACAAAACATAGAACAAAATCAAACAAACAAATTGCATTTAGGGCTGTCTTGGCTGCTGCATATATATATTACAAAATTACCAGCATGAAGGAAGATAAATTCAAGATTCCCTACCAGGTGCAAGTCCTAATCCTATGAACAGGAAAAGGCGGTCCTGGTTAAGGGAAATGAGGTAAGTATTAAAGTTTAGAGCTGGTAGACAATGAACAAATGAAGAAATTGAAATTGAATGAGCAGGTTGTGGCCAGGCGAGGTCCTGAGTCCTCTTGGAGAACCAGGCGAAAGTCCTGTACCACAAAGACTGCTATCATACATAGTTTGGTTACATCGCCAGGCGAGTCCTGAGCCCTACTGAAGAACCAGGCGGAAAATGGTCCTGTACGATGTAAACTGTGTATGACATGTATATGAAATGAATGAAACCCCAATGACTTTGGGGCTAATGGACCAGTAATGAATGAAACCGCAAAGACCAATGACTTTGGGGCTAAAGTGCGCTAGCACAGAAACGCAGCAACCAAGACTACCAGAAGAAAAGAAAAAACCGGAGCGTGGATGGGGTTGGTGGTGGCCAATTCGAACAATGAAAAACACAGGGAGATGTGGACAGGTCAGCTCAGCATCTCCAAGTGAAGCTAAATATAGCACGCACTAATTAGTATGCATAATGACAGACCCAGACAGAGGTCATAGTTCATGTAGTTGACTAAGTGTACTGGGCAATGGATACATGCCCATATGTAAGCAACTAAGTAGAATGAATGACTGAACTGAAGTATTGAAGACACAATTGTTTATAAACAAAGTTTAATAATACTTATTAAACCACAATGGTCATTTCAGCACGTACCAGGTTTTGGTGGTGGAGAAAAAACCAGCATGTCGGCAGAGAAACCACTGACCTGCGGCCAGTACCTGACGACTGCCCCAAATAGGCATGAACCCACGACAGAGTGATAGAGGGCTCTGTAATTACAACCTGACTGAATGGCCTCATTATTGCTCACTTAATAGGTATAACGATTAGCACTGTTCTTCTCTGACAGTGCAGAAAGTGTGTGTTTATGTACTACATGCATGTATGGATGTAAATATTCCTCCAAACAATAATTAATTGAACTGGTGTTATCTGTGATGTCAGGTAGACATATGTGGTAATGTTACAAGAGGCCCAATGGGCCTGCATGACTCACCTGGTATTAATCTCACACTTGTAATCTTAAAAGTGGACTAAAATACAGCTACAGGCACAATATCAGTGTTTGATTCATAAGAACCAATTACAAGATTTAAACATATGACGCCTGTGACCATGAATGTCGAACAAGGATATTAGGTTGAAAGTGGGTCAAGGTAATTCATTTGAACCAACTTTGTAGCCCTTCATCCCAGCATGCTACAGGCCCAATATCAGTACCCTGGGCCTTTTGGTTATTGAGAAGAAGTTGTTTGAAGATTTAAGACATTTGACCCATGTGATCTTTAAAGTTCGTCAAGGTGATTCATTTGAACAAACTTGGTAGCCCTTCATCCCAGCATGCTACAGGCCCAATAGCAGTACCCTTGGCCTTTTATATTTTATTAATTATTGAGAAGAAGTTGTTTGAAGATTTTAAGACATTTGACCCATGTGACCTTAAAAGTTGGTCAAGGTCATTCATTTGAACAAACTTGGTAGCCTTTCATCCCAGCATGCTACAGGCCATATATCAGTGCCCTAGGTCATACGGATATTGAGAAGAAGTTGTTTGAAGATTTTAAGACATTTGTCCCTGTGACCTTGAAAGTGGATCAAGCTAGGTCATTCATTTTAACAAATTTGGTAGCCCTTCATCCCAGCATTCTACAGGCCAAATATCAGTACCCTAAGCCTTTCGGTTATTGAGAAGAAGTTGTTTGAAGATTTTATGACATTTGACCCTCGTGACCTTGAAAGTGGGTCAAGGTCATTCATTAGAACAAATTTGGAAGCCCTTCATCCTAGCATGCTACAGGCCCAATATCATTACCATGTGCCTTTTGGTTATTGAGAAGAAGTTGTTTGAAGATTTTATGACATTTGACCCTCGTGACCATGAAAGTGGGTCAAGGTCATTCATTAGAACAAATTTGGAAGCCCTTCATCCTAGCATGCTACAGGCCCAATATCATTACCATGTGCCTTTTGGTTATTGAGAAGAAGTTGTTTGAAGATTTTAAGACATTTGACCCCTGTGACCTTGAAAATGGGTCAAGGTCATTCATTTGAACAAACCTGGTAGCCCTTCATCCCAGCATGCTACAGGCCCAATATCAGTACCCTGGGCCTTTTGGTTATTGAAAAGAAGTTGTTTAAAGTAAAATATTGACGCTGGACACCGGACGCGGGCCAGACGCCGGACAGACGGACGGCGGACGATGCACCACGGCATAAGCTCACTTGGCCCTTCGCTAAATATATGAATTGTGTTATATTGTTAGAAGATCTGTGGTTGGCTCTATTCACTGAGCAATTATGTTAAAATGTGGTAAACTTGCAAGGCAATCAATCTAAACGTGAAATTGTCAGTATTTTCTCCAGACATAAAACATGTACCTTTCTTAATTATCAGTGGAATGAGGTATGAAATCAATGTACTTTTTCTCCCTTGAAAATTGCAATACCTTAAAAGTTTATAGACTTATTTGTCAAGTCATGTTTAGATTGCTTAGTAATTAAAGCTTATCACATCATTTTAACGTTACTGCTCAGTGAATGTAGCCAACTACAGTACTATTAGAGTCATGGTGACGTAAAAAAGGAGTATACTGGAGCGATCCAATCCACTAATAAGTGCTGGTTACACCACGAAACTGTAGTAAATCATTTTAACTCTGTCTAATCAATATACTGCATGTATCCATCAATAACCCCATGCCTGTTAATAAGCCCACACACGTCAAACAGTCTAGCAGAAATACTAACAAAATATGCTATTACATTATCCTGCAATAAGCTGACACCTTCTACTTTGAATAAGAGTTTATGTACTGATCCCTTAATTGGGCTTATTGAAGGACAAGTAAGGTACTCGAGACAGGAAACAGGCAAGTATGGCCCAAGATTTGTAGGTCTGAAGAACAGAAATCAAGTAAACAAGGACCTAGACCTGCAGATAGCGTGTGACTGTACTTAACCAGGCTTGATGGAAGCTGGTACCACCAACTGACTTCATTAAGATTATGATAGCTGTCATACCTTCTGATGTACCTCAGTTGGACATTGAAAACTACAAAGCTACCATGATTAAAGACTTGTGATGCAAAATTGATAAGAGGGTAGCCAGGTATACATAATGGCTGACATCAAGATCATCCAGACATGCCAGAAGGAAGCGTCTTTTGGAAAAAAACCAGAATCCAGGCTTAGATTACTGTCCAGAGGTACACAGTGGAGGTCAGTAAGCACACTTGACTGGACATAAATGGATTTTGTGTAGAAAATACCAACATTCTCAGTCAGGTGTATGTTACAATGTATCAGACCGTTTCTCTTCTCATAAGAATGTGATGTCTTGCTTACAGATCTGTTACACTGCAGGCAAAACCATAGAAAACTCTGGAGGTCCAAGGTTCAACTTTCGATCTGGGGCAATTGTATTTTCGCTCCAAAGACACGTACTGTTATTGATTAATTTTTTGTTTATTTTCATAATATTTCCTTACAGTTTTACAGGACGTCAGATTTTTTCCCCCAGAAACTTTCATTTTTTCGCAATGAGCTCACTTATAATTAAAAGTAGGCTTACTTGTAATTAAGGGTGAGCTACTCTGTAATTAAGTCCAGATAACCTGTAGCTAAGGAGAAGCTTATCTGTGATTTAAAAGTGAGTCTACCTAAAATTTTGGGTTCAGTTTTCCTGTAATTTTGCGCAAACTTACCTGTAATTTAGGATGGGCATAAAATTCATTTAGGAAGTCCATAATGGTGTCGGCCTGGAGCGTTGTGGTACACACGACTACATGTTTCTCTGTCTGAGCACGGTGGCTGCTATATGCCCCACCTTGTTTCTGTCGCTCCATCCAGAAAAACGCCAATTGTTCAAACTGTGTAGGGACAAAATGGGTAAAATTAGCAATGAGATTGCAATACTAGGAAAATATAAATGCTATGTGTACATAACTAAACAGCACAATCCTTTTTTATGTTGAAAAATAAACATTTGAAATATTTATTTTCCAAATGACTGCAAATTAAAGACAAAGTTGCAGAGGAATCTTATGGCATAAGGTCTATATTTAAGGTCTACATAAGTTTTTGAGAACTGGTCAAGAGTATAGGATCCAGCCAATGGGGTTACAGGAAATTATCAAGACTTATAATAAAACTTTTATGTTTACAGATTTTTGAAATGAAAGTTTTCAAGTTAAAACCTACATACAGTATTAAAAACATTGTATATTGTTAACACTGTTGCTCTATCAACATTCACATCAGAACACCAAGGTATGTTTCTGTCATCATCAATGTGTCATAGTTACCTGTGTTGGCAAGACAATGAGTGCAGCCCCAATCATGCATATCATAAAGAACTGAGATATCCAGATGTCGGGGCATATATCTCCATAGCCCACAGTAGAAAAGGTGACCACGGAGAACCAGCAAGATTCGAACAATCCGAACTGTTGATTACCTCCCCTCTGTAGATGTTGTATACCGCATACACTGTAACCAATCAGAACACTCCATTTAGAGTATGTACACAACCAATCAGACAGTTCAGCTTACAAGATATTATAACTGATCATAGGTCAGTTCATAAGATAAGCACAACCAATCATAGCCCAGTTTACAAGATAAGCACAACCAATCATAGCCCAGTTTACAAGATAAACACAACCAATCATAGCTCAGTTTACAAGATAAACACAATCAATCATAGATCAGCTTACAAGATAAACACCTGATCGGGGAGATATCATGATGGTGTTATAATTATCACAAAATTGATAAATATGACCAAAGCTGATGAAGTGATTGAAACAAGATAAGTTTTACCTGGTAAACACAAGGCACAATACAGTGGCACATAAAATCATAAGTTGTTGAGCAAGGGCTGACTGGGATTTCATCATCACTCTGTGAAGGTCATTCTGTAATACAATCAGTGTTCAAAGTTTAACTTTTCCATACTTGCAAAGAATGTCATCACAAATTTAATTCAAGGAGAGATGGATTATTAGGCTGCTACTTAATTCAATATGACCTGTTGTCAGTGTCTGACAGATTCAATTTACAATGGTATTCAAACTCAAAGAAAGAAGACACTATTTTGAAAATGAAAATGATATATACTTACAAACATATTTTGTAAAGCAAGTTTGGCTAACCAGCAGTTAAGGAAAATAGGGATAAATAAATTTCGAAGAGGTTCCTCCCAAAAAATCTGAAAAAGAAAAATGCATATGAAGGGATGTATATCAATTGACATTTTATACAAACTGGTAAAAAAAGTATCATCATAGGAAAATGCTACAATTTTCAAACAGGAGTTGGTGAATGATTGCGTAAAATTTCTTAAAATTGCAATATCTAGGACTAAATAAAACATTAAGAAAAATTATTTGCCTTTTTACAGAGATTTGATGTACTTACTGTGACAACAAACGGTACAGTGTTAACCAGCTCTAACAGGAACTCCATGGATAACACCTGCTGCAAAATGTTTCCCTAAAACAAAGGAAAACATCAGAGAAACTAGAGATTTGTTTTTGTGAACAGATGTTTCCCCTTTAATGTTTTAAAAAAAGCGGCCCAGACAAGATACTCCTGAAAACTTTGCACTTATTTGACCTTTGACCACGAGGTCGAGGTCACAATGACCTTATACAACAGTGCAC